ACATTGTATTCTAAGAACAACATTTCTGACAAAGTAGGACATCCCATTAATACAGTTAGTTTGCATATGGAGATTGTGGGTTCCAAGTTTATACTCAGAAAAGGTAGTGTAACCATATGAATGCATGTTTATGTGTTTCTATGTTCATGTGCTCTAAAGTATTTTAAAACTGCTCTCCAGAAATGTATGAGGAAAGATCTTTTTGTTAATTGGGGTCAGTTAGCTCAGTTGGCTGGATGGTTGCTTTGCAATGCCAAAGTAACACCAACAGCAGAGGTTCAATTCCCACATTAGCTGAGGTTACTGTGAAGGACCCTCTTTCTCAACCTCTGCTAATAAGGACCACCAGTCATCTCACTAACAAGAGAGTAGGACTAAGGCAACTTTTTCACTTCAATAATTATTTAATTAGGCGCAAAAATGCAAAACAAGTTTGTCAACCATGGCCAACGAAAGAAGTTAAGTATTGCTTAATGTTAAAGAAAAGGTTAAAGTTTCCAGAAATAATAGTAAATCTGAGAACTGGGAGGATTTTGGACTACAACATTATTGTGATACAGGACTGCTTATTCTGGAGGAATTTGGAGAGATGCACATCTGGTGGGCAGACTGGTTCACATGGAGAGGAACAGGTAACAGGCAAGAAAAGAGCTTCCTCAGGGAAGATAGTACCGTTATGGCGTGACCCAAATTAGATTTCATCAGTGACTGTCATTGATTGTGTCACAGCCATTAACCCTTCAAATAACACTGCCATTTCCGGAACATCTACTGGGCTGCAAATAAAGTAAGGCCACACTCCCCAACAAATGCTTTTAATGTTCATTAATACTTGTCCCATGCACTGTGATCCTGAAATATAATGACTAGGACAACTTCACCTTGTGCTAAATTGGTTGATCTCAGCTGGGTATCAATGACTGATCTTACTTCCCTGGGGTTAGGGAGGGAATAATTTTTACTGACAATTTACAGTCCACATGTTGTGTGGTCTTTGCAGAGATGTGTTTGCAAGTGAATCCCACAGTGAAAATTTGGCTGCCACATTCTGCCTAAGGTTGTCCATAAAGAATGGCCAATACAGGGCAGGTCTCAAGGGCAGTCAACACCAGGTGAACTGGTACCCACCTGGATTAGTACTTTCAGGAGAGAGAAGGAAACTGATGGAAAAGCTCACAAAGTCCCTGCTATTACAAAAAATACTAATTGGCAGTGATTCAAAATTGTAATTTCACCTTGAGATGCAAATAATAATTAGCAACCTTCTGGAATTTATTATCAAACGTCATCGGAAAGTATCTGTTAGTCTCTGCCTTGTAATCAGTCCCTAGCAACCAATGCAAAAACAGAAATTGCAGGAGAAACTCAGCAGGTCTGGCAGCTTCTGTGGAGATAAAGCAGAGTCAATGTTTCAAGTCCAGGAACCATTCTTCAGAACTGATTGTAGCTAGGAAATAGTGATATATATAAGACCATATATGCTGATAATGGGGTTGGGAGGGGGGGTGCGAGGTGGTGAGTAGGAGTGAGTGGATCTGTGGAGATGGAGCCCAGAGAGAGAGATAGACAGTTAGGGAGACAAGGGAACGGGTGATAGTATGCTTGGGAGAAAGGAAAACTGATAATGGAGAGCATAAGTATGTGAAAATGGATTGGCTGTGCTGAAAGCAGCCTATGTCATCACAGGGATAGAGCTGTGGGGGTGGATAAAGGCCATGGAAGAAGGTATTCAGGCTCTAAAATTATTGAACTCGATATTGAGTCCTTAAGGCTGCAGGATCTCCAAGCGGAAAATGAGATGATGTTCTTCCAGGTTGTGCTGAGCTTCATGTGAGTCTTGCAGCAAGCCTGAGACAGAGATGCTGGCCAGGGAACATGGTGGTGTGTTAAAGTGTCAGGCAACTGGAAGCTCAGCGTTATTCTGTAACAGAACCTCGGTGGTCTGCAAAATAGACAGTCTGCATTTCATCTCCCCAGTGTAGAGAAAACCACATTGTGAGCAGCGAATACAGCAGACTAGATTGAGTGAAATGCAGATAAATTGTTGCTTAACCAGGAAGGGGCCTTGGATACTGAGGAGGGAGGAAGGAAATGGGCAGGTGTTATACCTTCTGCAGTTGCAGAGGAAGGTACGATGGCGGTGTGGGGACGTGTTGGGATTGAAGGAGGAGTGGACCAACATGTCCCAGAGGAAACAGTCCCTGTGGAAGGCTGACAAGGAAGGGGAGCGGAATATCAGCCTGGTGGTGGCAGAAATGGCAGCTTATGATCCTATGAATGTGGATGCTGGTAAGGTGAAAATTGAGGACGGGGTGACCCTAATGGTGTTGAAGGAGGGAAGAGAAGGAGTGAGGCCGAAGTGCAGGGAATGGGTCAGGCATGGCTGAGGGCTCTGTCATACATGGTGCCTGCGACTCCTCAGATAAAGAAAAAGGTGGATATTTCTGAGGCTTCCCTGCGGAAGGTGGCATCATCAGAACAGATGTGGTGGAGACGAAAAAAGTGGGAGATTGGAGTGGAGTCTTTACAAGAAGCATAGTGTGAGGAGGCAATAGAGGGAGTCAGTGGGTTTGTAGTGAATATCTGTGGCCAAACTATCCCCAGAAATGGAAACAGAGATGTCAAGGAAGAGAACAGGGGAGTCAGAGATGGACTAGGTGAAGGCGAGAGCAAGGTGGAAATTGAAAGCTAAATTGATATTTTAATTCTGGATGAGAGAGGGAAGCAGCACCAATGATGTTGTCAATGTACTGGATAAAGAGTTGTGGGGACGGACAAGAAATGTTCCACATATCCCACAAAGAGACAGGCATAACTGGGTCTCATGCAGGTACCATGGCCACACTTTTGATTTGAAGAAAGTGAGAGGAATTAAAGAAGAAGTTGTTCAAAGTGAGGATGAAGGCGTTGGTGGATGGTGACGGTTCAAGCTTTTTGTTCCAGGAAGAAGTGGAGAATCCTGATACTATCCTGAAGGGGAATGGATGTGTAAAGGGATTGCATGCTTACAATGAATGGGAGGTGGCTGGTACCTGCAAACTGGAAATTCTGAAACTGACATAATGAAGAATTGCAGATGTAAGTGAGAAGGGGCTGGACAAGGGGAGAAAAAAAGAATCAAGTCAAAGAAGGAACAGATACATTCCAATAACCAGATACTGAATTGAATTTATAACCTGGTAATCTGTTTAAGGTGTAACTGAACTTGTCACTGCAAATTACTTGCCTGAACTCAGTTGCTTTGCTGGGAGTGTCCATGTAATAATACAGCCCAGACAAATACCATTTGGCTCATCATACCTGTATTGTTGTTTGATCAAGTTATGCAGTACATCCCACAGCCCTGGTCCTAACTCTATGATCCTGTAAGTATCTTTCTTTTCAGCATTTATCCAGTTCCCTGTTGAAAATTACAGTTGCATGTACTTCCCCCACCGATTCAGATGATTCAATCTGGACCAATTTCATTTGGTAATATTTGAAACACTGGAAATAATTTTGTGGCAATAATAACACGATTTACACTGTTACATGTGAATATTTTGTTTTTATCCATTATTCAGAGCACAGGCCAGAGCAGTATTCCCTGCTGCTGTTGTTTAGGGAAAAGGCCCTTCTGATTCAGTCAGATTGCTTTACATTACCAGGCACACTATCTTCCCTGTCAGAGTGCTTTTCATAGAATCATAGAATCCCTACAGTGAGGAAGCAGGCCATTTGGCCCATCGAGTCTACACCGACGCTCCAAAACGCATTGCACCTAGACCCACACCCCCTTGCCCTATCTCTGTAACTTTGCATTGCCCACGGCCATTCCACCTAATCTGCACATCTTTGTGCTGTGGGAGAAAACTGAAGCACTCAAAAGAAATCCATGCAGACCTTGGGGAAAATGTGCAGACTGCACACAGTCACCTGAGAGCAGAATTGAACTTGGATCCATGGTACTATAAGGCGGCAGTACTAACCACTGAGCCACTATGCTTCGGTTATACTTTTTGTCACTTTTCGTGGCACAGCTAAGATTTATTTCCTGAATGCTAGCTGTTCTGCCCACGTGACCGTTCTTCATGTTTGAACCCAGAAGGTGCGAGTTGTACAACTGCGAAGATCATCACAGCTGAGTCTGGTCTCGCTTGAACATTTTCCATGAGGAGCAGTTGGTGGAAATTCTAACTGATGTAATCTCCTTCACGTGGGCTTTTCTCAGGCCCCTACTAATATTCTGACAAGACCAGAGATTGAACCTGGCACCTTCCTGCTCTGCAACACACTGGGCACTGGATTAGCGGGATGCTGCAGTCAGCCCCTGAGTTGCAATGTCTGCTGGCAAGTTTGTGTCTGTGAATGTCTGTATATTGGATTAAGGCACGCTCGAATGGGATAGAACACCCGGGGGCGAGGAGCATTCCGATTAGAGTACTTCTGTCAAGATGTACAAATAAAGAACAGTGGTTTGCGCAAAGTGGACGTTTAAAAGCATATTATAAATGCGTTTTTACCGAAATCTTTACAGTCTGTAATAAATGTAGGTCTGATGTTCTTAAATAATGAGAAGGGTGCAGCAGAGGGGAGCGTTTATCTGCCTCTTGCAGCTGGAACAACCTCCTTTCATTCCCTTCCCACGCCTCCTCCCTAAATGCTTTCTTCAATACAGATGTTTTTCATGGTATCAGGTTCAGCGGCTCTATAGTCACTTGAGTAAAGCATTAATCATCTCTGTGTGAAAATAAAATCTAACTTCCCCGTTAGTCCTCAGCTTGAAATATCAACATGCAATTGTTGGCAGCCCTGTGTGTGTGTGTTCCGTTTTTATTCCAGGTTTTCAGGTTAAGACTTTATTGAAGAGCCCTCCTGGAGTGGATCAAGCCCTTGCTCTCAGCACAGCGCCCATTCTCAGTGCGATCCAATGATATGTTCTGGGTGGTAAGAAAAGGTGATGTGACTGCTTGACGTCAGTTTCCTGTCTGCCCCCGTTTCCTGCAGCTTAATCAGTGAATGAGCCAAAGATGTAGAGAATTGGAGAAGGGGAGGTCAGTTCCGCCCAGCCTGGAATTTGTCAAGTTTCTGCCCATATATGGGCACGTGTTCACTGAACGGGCGGGGGAAGAAGAGGTGTTTGGTGAAACTTACTGAGCCTCATGAAAAGGACGCAGTAGCTGCGTTGTTTTCTGTAAGCGGGCTGAGTTTAAACTAATATCACAAAGTCTACAAAAGCATGGCTGGAAAGCAGTTTAACAGCGGACCCGCGTACGGTCTCTCAGCAGAAGTGAAAAGCAGAGTGAGTGCAACTCTTAGTTTGAGATTTTTTTTTTAAAAAAAGTCTCAGCCAGTTGCTGTTTGTAACCTGCTAAACACAGGTCGTTTCGTAGCGGTGGTTTCAGCTTCGCTTAAGACTTAACGATAAGTTTTGTTTTGAAGTTGGGCGTTGTCCCAGTTGCTGCTGCCAGATTAATTCAAGTATTTGTTCCTGTATTTCCCGTCATCTTCTGTGTCTCAGTCCTCAGTTAATTCTGTCTGTGTGCTAGGGTTATTCTATCTCCCATTCCAGCTAGAGGTATTTGGAAACTTCTTCCAAGATACAGTGGGCGGTGACATTTATTCAAGCAAAAATTAACTTCCTGTGTGTTTTGCTTTAAGCGATGGCTGTGAGAGAACCTTCTTTTAAATTCTTGGTTTGTTGCACGTCTTTTCAATTTTTAGTATGTTATGCAGTTTTTATTTCAAATCCAGCAAAAACGGTTTCATGACACGTAGAAATGGGATTTCAAATAGAAGATTCCAATCACGTGAAAATTATTCATTGCAATAATAAAGTGTTTTTGGGATGCATTCTGTCAGGAACGGACAGTGACTCCGAGCGAATCTGATTTTTCGTTTTTGATTTTTCTTCAATGCTTGAGCTGATTAATAACCGCCACGGAGCTAGCTCTGCACTGTTCCTGACCTGCCCTGGATTAGGATTTAATCTTCCTTGTGTCATTGTCCTTGCACTTTGTGTAAACAATTTTTCTTCTTTTTTTTTTGTTTGTTTGAAATTGTCCATACAAAAACTTTTCAAGCAATAAGGGAATCCAAAACACTAAAAATTATACCAGTAACTGAGGCTGCATTATATAGGTTGTAGTTCTATACTCTGAGTAAACCATTGAAATAAGCCTCATGTTATCATTTAAAGACACTGATTTGCACCTCTGTAACATCAGCTAGCTGTGAACCTGCATCTACTGCTGTAGTAACCATGCCTTTACCTCCAGACTTGACCATTAAGTGCACTCTTTCCACATTAAACCCTTAAACTTGAAATCGCCTAAAACTTTTCTGCTTTGTGTTCAAGCTTGCATCGTGGACATGGTTAAAGTAAATAGTCCATGTCTTTTTGCTAGGGTGGAGACGTCCAAAACTAGAGGGCATAAGGTGAGAGGGGAAAGATTTAAGAAGGATCGGGATGGGTGTAACTTTTTCATGCAGATGGTGTTATGTGAATGAGCTGCCAGAGGAAGTGGTGGAGACTGGCACAATTACAGCATTTGAAAGACATCTGACTGGGTATAGGAATAGGAACAGTTTAAGGGGTGATATGGCCAAATGCTGGCAAATGGGACTAGGTCAGATTGGGATGTCTTGTTGGTGCTGATGAGTTGGACCGAAGGGTTTGTTTCTGTGCTGTGTGACTGTCTTGTCCATCTATTGCTTGTATACTGACTCCTGTTGACTCCCAGATCAAGTACGTCTTAATTTAAGGACTCATGTTTGTTTACAAATTTCTCTCTGGCCTCTCTCTCTTCTCAAACTTTGGAATTTCTTCCAGACCTAGAACCTGAATTGACATCTGCTCTCCAAAGCATTCCCGAATGTAATTGTTGCATCATTGGATGGCAGTATCTTTTTGCATAAATAAAAGTCCATTAGAAATATGAATAGGCTATTAGATCTTTTTCAGCTAGTCAGCACCTCAACAAGATCAATTTTTGATTATTAAAGCTCAAACCTTTGGAATTTCCTCTTATGAGATGTTCTGCATTGTTCACTAAACTTCTGGACATCTGCCTGAATATCTGTTTTGGCTGATATTAAATGTATTTGCTCGTGCTCTTGGGAAGAATTTTGGGAGGTTTTTGTTGAATTAGCTCAATGCAGACAGTGGTGTGGGGACTACAGTTGGTGTGGATTTTTGGGGCATCCTCAATTTTCATAAAGTAAGTTCCCTCTGTGAGTGAGAATGATATTCCTTAACCAACGTGACTGAAATGAGTTACTTTGGTCAGGATATTGGGAAGACATTCCTAATTCTGTTCAATTTTTCTGCCATACCTGAGCAAGCAGACAGGAGCTTGATTAAACATCTCAAATGAAAGAAGTGCCTTTAAAAATTCACCACCACCTGGTAGGGAGAGGCTGAATAGGCTGGGGCTATTTTACCTGGAGTGACCGGCTGAAGGGTGACCTTTATAGAGCCTCATAAAATCATGAGGGGCATCAATAGGGTAAATAGGCAAGGTCTCTTTCCTGGGGGGCGGTCCAAAACTAGAGGGCATGGGTTTAAGGTGCAAGGGGAAAGATATAAAAGGGACCTGAGGCAGTTATTTCCTGCGTAGGGTGATGCATGTATGGAATCAGCTGCCAGAGGAAGTGGCAGAGGCTAGTACGATTTTACAACATTTAACAGGCATCTAGGTGGGTATATGAATAGAAAGGGTTTGGAAGGATATGGGCCAAATGCTCGTAAATGGGAATAGAATTAATTAGGATATCTGGTTGGCATGCATGATTTGGACTGACGGGTTTGTTTCTGTGCAGTATATCTATGACTGTATAAAACCACTCTTGTATTGGGTAGATTATATGCTGGAGTATCTGCAGTGGATGGGATCCAACAATCCCTGGATTCAGAGGTAGGAGTGCAATCACTGAGCGAGTGATGACCTTTTGGGACAAGATTGAGTTTGGCCGTGGTAAGTGTAACCTGCCCACCTGGAGTGGTTGTTGTGGGGAAGGGCAGGTAATAGTTTATGTCCCAGGTATTCTAGTAAAGATCTCCAGGAGAAGAGGGAAGAAAATTAAGGGTAGAGATGTTTGTTTTAAGAAAAAATGTCATAGGAGTGAGAGCTGCTCCTGGGTGTCAATGTTGTAAATGTCTGCTTTTTTTCTAATGCTTTGCTTTGGCTTTGTAATAAGGTGACTTGAGTTACACAAGTAATGAATCTTCACATTTATAACTGAGAAAGGTAAAGAAGTGAATGATCCAACGCCACACCAGTGAACAGTAAGATAATGTGAGAAAAACAGAAATTGTGATCAATTGATGTGAATTTTAACTTGTTTCCATTGCCTATAGATTGTAGGAAGTGTGATACCATTTCAAGGCTTTGGGGAAAGTGTATAAAATGATGCAGTAATCTGTTTTTCAATGTGGTAAGGATATAGGAAGACTGGGAGCTTTGGAGAACTGAAAAAAGAGAAGTTCAGAGGAGTGCTGACTATTGCAGTTCTAATAAATAATATGGCAACATCTCTCCCCATCAGTCAACGAGTTCATAAGCTTTCCTGTAGTCTTGTACTAATCTGGCTTAATCAAGATCTAAAAGTCACCATAACTTGATGTTACATCAAAACTGTCAGAAATTGATAGAATTGTTTGCTTTTCCCTTAAGTTTCTCCCCTCTCTATTAACAATTTTGCATGTTCTACCCTTCCCTTTCTCTAAACGTCATAGCCAAGAACCTAAACTTTACTTTGTACTTCTGAAATCATCTGCTTATAATCAATTGACACCCTGCCCTTCAAAAATTGGCAGGTTTGAGGTTGAGATTTGTCACCCTCCCTTTTAATAGAAACAGAACTGATTTCATCAAGTGATATTGGTGCTTTGAGATCTGCTCTCCTTTAGGTTGCTCATGGTAAAACAATTTTTGGGTGACCTTGTAGAGGTTTATAAGATCATGAGGGGCATAATAAGGCGATTGGAAAGGTCTTTCCTTGGGATGGGGGAATTCAAAACTAGGGCGCAGCTTGTTAAGGTGGGAGGAGAAAGACTCAAAAGGAACCCACGGGGCAGCCTTTTTGAATAGAGGGTGGTTCATGTGTGGAATGAACTGCCAGAGGAAGTTTTAGATGCAGGTACAGTTATAACATTTAAAAGACATTTGGACTCCTACATGAATAGGAAAGGATTAGAGGGATATGGGCCAAACGCAGGCAAGTAGGACAAGTTTCCCCAAACTGAAAACTAGGCTAATGTGGATGAGTTGGACCAAAGGGTCTGTTTCTATGCTGTTTGGATCATCCTGTGCAAAAATTTCCAATTATTTCTGGCTGCAAACCTTTCCTGGTTATTTCAGACTTAACTAGTGCTGGGGATGATTGGGGGACTGATGGTTTGCAAAGCTCCTGGCATCTTTAAATAGCTGGGCCTGCAGGTAACCCAGAGACATTTGGAATAAAATTGTACAAAGCCAGAACCATACTGGACTGAATTGGTTGCCTGTTTTTTAAAAAAATCCCATACCCAATTCAAATGACTTTAGTAAGTTGAATATTAGGATTAACGTTATGAATGTTGAATTGAATTCTGCTACTTTTTGTAATCCCCATTTTGTAGCCAATTTCAGCAGTAGTGGCTTAGGATGACAGTGATAATGTTAACATGGTTGATATTTGCTTTGGTAGCAAAGACTGTGACTGGTGCTACCACTGACTTCTAGGTAAATGTAGCCAGGATGCTTTAGCTGTCAAAGCTGAGAGTCGGATCCTTACCAGATTTCTCAAACAGAGTTGCAAAAAGTTTGCTCAAAGTTTTGCACTAAAGTTCTTTGCATGCATTGTGACCTAACGTGTGCATCTCGTCTCCTTTTTTGAGATTTTGTCATGGATATATATTTCTATAAAATCTACCTCATCTCCTTTTGCCTACTGATTAAATGCTTCTCAATAGTTTCTACTCAACATTGAGAAATTTCCTGACTTGAAGAGCTCAGTGTCATTTACTGACAGGTGTTAGGTCATTGCTTGCACAATCTATGCTGCAGAATTTTGGATGTTTCGGTCATGAGGGATCTGTGACATCCTGGACAGCAGGGAAGTTGTAGCAAGTGACTCGGGCAACAAAGTACCTCTTGCCTTAGAATCTATGGCATCAAACCTTTGCCAGATTTCATGGTGCTTGAGAAAACAGACAAGCAGCCAATAGTTTGAAAGTCACCACCTCTAAAAGATGTTTGAGATAGTAGGAACTGCAGATGCTGGAGAATCTGAGATAACAAGGTGTCGAGTTGGATGAAC